TGGGGAAAGAGAAACATCTGGGGAAAGAGAAACATCTGGGGAAAGAGAAACATCTGGGGAAAGAGAAAAATCTGGGGAAAGAGAAAAAGCAGGAGGAAATGAAACTGAAACGCAGAACCTTCGTCTATACTGCCATTTATGAAACTCTGCCCCTGGCAGGTACCAGCCGTTCCAATCGGGATGAAACCGTCAAGAGCTGCCAGTTGCCAGGGGCAGGGCGTCACGCAGTTCGCACCTGGTCGCGGGGCGCGGGGTCGGGCGGCAGGGCGAGAGCCTCGTCCTCGATGAGGCGCACCAGGCGCAGGAAGGGCGGGCGGTCGGCCGGGCGCCAGCACCAGCAGATGGCCATGAGGCGCGCGAGCGCGGCGGGGCAACCGGCGGGCGGGGCCAGCACGCCGCCCTGCAGCACCACGTCCAGCACCTGCTCGTTGGCCAGCCCCTGGTACGGCTGCTGCGCCAGCGCCGCCGCCTCCCACACCACCACGCCGAACGCCCACGCGTCCGACCGCGCCGAGAACACGCCGTCCGCCAGGCTCTCCGGCGCCATCCACCGCACCGGCAGCAGCCCGCGCGCGCCCGCGCGGTAGTAGTCCGTCTCGTACACGTCGCGCGCCATCCCGAAGTCGCCCACCTGCGCGACACACGCACGCAACCCCCTCAGCCGCGGGGCTCAACAAGCGAGGGGCAAGGCAAGGGATACGCTATCCCGGACAGACCTTCCCCCTCGGGGGAGGCATTCACCCTATGTTCACCCCGTAATTCTAGCGAGGAAGGCACTGCGGGGAGGGGGATTTCGGCATGGCATGGTCCTCCACTAGCGAGGGGAAATGTGATGTGTTATGACCTTCCCTCTTGAGTGGACGACAGAGAAAGCATCGACATGATAATCTGGAAAGCCATTCACCCTAATGCAAAGCAGGAAAGCACTAGCGGGGGAGGGGGATCTTGCATCGCGTGGTTCTCAACAAATGTGTGTGTGTGTGTGGGGGGGGCGGGAACGAGGCATTATTTTGAACAGACTTTCCCCCTTGAGTTGGAGGTGGGGGGCAGGAAATGCATCATCGAGTTATTCGGGAAAGGCCTTCCCCCTTGGGGGAAAGTCATTGACATGTTATTCCAGATAGCCATTCGCCTTACAGAAAGCTCTAATCCAAAACAGCAATGCACTAGCGAGGGGGGGGGGATCTCGACCTCGCGAGCCCCTTGTGAAGGGGAAAACATCGAGATGTTATTCAGACTTTCCCCCTTGGAGAGAAGGCAGGGAAGGCATTGACGTGTTATTCTGGACACCCATTCGACTAACGGAAAGCTCGAATCCAATGCACTGGCTGAGGAGATGATTTCGTCCTTTTGTGGTCCTCAAACCGACGCCATATTTGTTCCGCAAGAGGGCAGAACATTAAATGAATGAATGAATGAATAAATGAATAAGTGAATAAATAAATAAATAAGTGAATAAATAAATAAATAAATAAGTGAATAAATAAATAAATAAATAAAACAATTTGAGGACGTGCGTACCTTGACGACGCCGTCGCGCGCCACCATGCAGTTGCGGGCGGCGAGGTCGCGGTGCACGAACTTGTGCGCCTCGAGGAAGGCCATGCCGTCGGCCACCTGCGCGGCGGCGGCCAGCAGGTGGCGCGGCTGTGGGCGCGCGCGGGGCGCCACGCGCCGCGCCGCCTGCAGCACGCGTTTCAGGTCGCCGCGCGGCATCAGCTCCATGAGCACGAGCGGCGGCCGCGCGCGCGACACCACGCCCAGCAGCCGCACCAGGTGCGCGCCCTCGCGGAACGCCTGCGCACAAACGACGCACGCGCTCTGATGAAAAGATTGATTACTAGTGATTCCGGACGCGTCAACAGCTCAGGTCGTTAGTCCCGTAAGTGTAGTGCGTTGTTTGTCTCGGGAAATGGCGGTGGTACGCTCTCAATGCGGCGATGGAAAGATGATACATAAATTGATTACTAGTAATTCTGGGCGCGTCAACTGCTAAGGTCGTTAGTCCCGTAAGTGTAGTGCATTGTTTTCTCAGGAGATGGCGGTGGTACGCGCTCAGTGCCGCGATGGAAAGATGATACATTAATTGATTACTTGTAATTCTGGGCGCGTCAACTGCTAAGGTCGTTATTCCCGTAAGTGTAGTGCATTGTTTGTCTCGGGAGATGGCGGTAGTACGTGCTCAGTGCCGCGATGAAAAGATGATACATTAATTGATTACTAGTGAGTCCGGGCGCGTCAACTGCTAAGGTCGTTATTCCCGGAAGTGTAGTGCATTGTTTGTCTCGGGAGATGGCGGTAGTACGCGCTCAGTGCCGCGATGGAAAGATGATAAATTAATTGATTACTAGTGATTCCGGACGCGTCAACTGCTAAGGTCGTTAGTCCATAGTACCATTTGCTTGGGTAGTGGGAAACACGCCGATCATCAGTTTCGGCCTCAAACCCTCCTGAGTACGAGCTACCCAACAGCTCCACGCGCGTCGCAAGCGCCGTACCTTCATGGCGGCGGCCTCGTTGAGGGCCTCGGCGCGCGCGCGGCCGCTGGCCGCCGCCACGGCCTTGGCGGCGCAGCGCACGGCCGGCTGCCCCTCGGGGTGCGCGCCGCCCTCGGGCAGCAGCAGCGCCTCCGCCACGCGTCCGAAGCTGCCGCGCCCCAGCTCGCGCAGCACCTGCACGCGCTCCGGTGCCACCTGCGCACGCCCCGCGCACGCGAGGGGTTAGTCGACGCGTGAAGAGAGGGGTGCCGACGAGTACGCAAGCGTGTGAGCGATTGAGTGAGTAAGTATTTGAGCAACGGAAAGTGTGAATGAATAAACGTGAACGAGTAAGAAAGTGTGTAAGCGAGTAAATGTGTTCATGACTTAGTAAGAATGTGAGCGTATGTGTGAATGATAAAGTGAACAAATAAGCGAGAAAGAGTGTGAGCGAGAAAGAGCGCGAGCCAGAAAGAGCGTGAGCGTGAGCGAGAAAGAGAGTGGGCGAGAAAGAGTGTGAGCGAGAAAGAGCGCGAGCGAGAAAGAGCGCGAGCGAGAAAGAGCGCGAGCGAGAAAGAGCGCGAGCGAGAAAGGGAGTGGGCGAGAAAGAGTGTGGGCGAGTAAGAGTGTGTGCGAGTAAGAGTGTGGAATTGAGTGAATGATATAGTACATCCTGCGAGTGAGTGTGTGTGGGGAGAATAACTAAACAAATGATAACGTGATTGAATGAATGATTGTGTAGGCGGGTGAATGGGAGAGTTGGTAATGGAATGAGTGACGGTAGAGTAATTGATCGGGAGAGGGTCTTGGAGAGTATGAAGGAATGCGTGCGACTGAGTAAATGACTGAATGGGTGAGGGGTGTTCAGAGGACAAAACGGGTGACTGAATGACGGAATGATTCAGAGGACGGCAATGAGATCGAGTGAGTAATTGGGCGTGTGTGAACGCGCGCGCGAATGCATAACAGAGAGCGAGCGTGCGTGGGGAGCTGCTCACCTCCCAGGACTCGTCGTAGAGCGGGGGCCCGGGGCCGGCGCCGCCCGCCAGCTGCCCGTAGTCCGGGTTGACGGTGGCGAAGAGGTGGCGCAGGCGGCGGCGCCGGGAGCCGCGCAGCCACAGCACGCCGCCGGCCGCGCACGCCCCCACTGCGCACGGACGACAGAGCGCCGCTCGCGCATGCGCACTCAAAAAAGCTTCGCCTCGCCGCCGCCCGGCGCAGCACTGTCTATAGAGGAGTTGCCACTTTGACAGGTCAGGAAACAAATGAAAGTAGGCAAGGCGATGACATTGCACGAGATAGGGATGAAGCTATTTACGAATGAGCTACCTGCTAAAGAACACACTGACAAAATGAATGCACGGGCATTATCTGAAGTTATATTGCCAGCAATAGACGCACACTAGCTGTCAAAGCGGTCCCTTCTTATAGTAATCTCTCTACACTTCGGCAGTCCCTTCTCTACAGAGCACGTCTACAAACTACATTGATTATTTCACGATACCGGGCGCGCCAACAGCTATGGTCATCGGTCCCGTAAGAATAGTAGACGTTTATGTGTGTCGGGGGGGGGGTGTCGTCGCGCGCTCGACAGCGAGATCTGGCGCTGGTCTACAGTTCGGTTAGCGGATTTCTCCATCCTGGTATCTCCCACCAGCGGACCGCCGCTCCAGCCAGGACAAGCTCTAAGCGCCCAACCGGTGTCCGGGCAAAATGTGGTAGTGTAATTAGCATGTTAGTGTAAGCGTGTGGGTAAATAAGGGGTGAGTACAGGACAAGGAAGAGGAAGAAAAGATCGCGCGAGGTACGTGGCCCGTTTCTTAGAGTACTGCTCCGGCATTCGGCTGGTGATGATCGGAGAAATCTCGGAAAACTACCGATCAGATCAACCTGTCGCCAAAATTCTCTTCCAGACGGCGACTGAATTCGACCTAGCTGACATCCTCGTATCGAAAATCCAGCCACCGTCGGGACTCGAATCATACGACCTCTCGGTAGGAGGCAATGCAGTGACATCAGTTGATGACTTGAGCCACCTCTTCCGGTCGTATTATCGACTGTACACCTTTACCCATTCAATCCTTCGCTCCATCATACATTCATTCACGCCCTCCAACACCCTCTCCCGATACATATTCATTCATTCAATTACCAACTCTCCCATCCAACGGTCTACCCAATCACTCATTCAACCTCTTAATCACCTATTTAGTTACCTAATAATTCTCACACACGATTTATCCTCTCCCGATACCACAATCATTCATTCAGTAACCAACTCTTCCATCCAACGGTATAATCACTCATTCCACATCTTAATCACGTATTTAGTTCCCCACTAATTCACACACATACACAATTTATCATCTCCCAATACCATAATCATTCAATCAATTACCAACTCTCCCATCCAACCGCCTACCCAATCACTCATTCAACCTCTTAGTTCCCCACTAAATCTCACACACAGACACAATTTATCCTCTCCCGTTACCACATTCAATTACCAATTCTCCCATCCAAACGCCCACCCAATCACCTATTTAGTTCCAAACTAATTCACACACACACACACACAAACACACAATATATCCTCTCCAGATACCATAATCATTCATTCAGTTACCAACTCTTCCATCCAACGGTATAATCACTAATTCCAACATCTTAATCACCTATTTAGTTCCCCATTTAATCACGCACACACACACAATTTATCCTCTCCCGTTACCACATTCAGTTACCAATTCTCCCATCCAACCGCCCACCCAATCACTTATTTAGTTCCCCACTAATTCACACACACACACACACACACACACAATTAATCCTCTCCATATACCACAATCATTCATTCAATTACCATCCACCCAGCGGTCTACCCAATCTCTCATTCAACCTCTTAATCGCCTATTTAGTTCCCCACTAATTCACAAACACACACACACAATTTATCCTCTCCCGATGCCACAATCATTCATTCAGTTACCAACTCTCCCATCCAACGGTCTACCCAATGTCTCTTAATCACCTATTTAGTTCCCGCTCCCTGCACGCGGGCGTCGCAGCCCCGCAGCACTCACCGGCGACGAGCGCGGCGGCGACGAGCGCGCCCACCAGCCCGGCCGGCGCTGCTGAGCGGCGGCGCCGCGTCGCGTCCGCGTCGGGGTCCGCGTCGCCGTCGCCGTCCGCTCGGGCGAGGGCGGCGCGACGCTGGGCACGCGCGCGGCGGCGGACCACGCCGACCCACGGGCCCTGGCCGCCCTGCGACGCGCGCGCGCACGCGCACCTGCACCGCCGCCCGGCCGACAGCCGCGCGACCAGCGCTCCGCCGCCGCCGCCGCGTGCGCACGGGCCGGACACGCACGCCGCCCCGCCCGCCGCGCCCTCCTGCAACACGCCCGCGCGCGCGCCAGCCAGTCGTCAGCGCGGCCGCCCCCCGACGGGGTGCAACGGCGCATCCCGTGGGGGTGGGGTCTACCCAACGAGCTATAATATATTACATAGAGTGGCTGAAGCGCCTCTATACTGCGAGTATAGAGCGAAGTTACTCGTTCAATGTCCAGAATCAGAACGAGCGTTTGTCTGCCTACCAACGAGCTAGAATATACTACATAGAGTGGCGGAAGCGCCTCCATCTTTGAAGCCATGTTTTATGCGGTCAAAGCAGCGCCCTCTGAGAAACTAAGTATTCTATACTGTGACTTATGCAACTCTGCCCCTGGCAGGTCTCAGCTGGTCACGGTATCGTCCAATCGGGAGCTTGAACGTCACCCTAGTGACGTTTAAGCTTCCGATTGGATGAAACTGTCAACAGCTGAGACCTGCCAGGGGCAGGGTTGCGAAAATCGCAGTACAGCATTACGTTTGGCGCTGGTTATGGACGGTCACACCGCCACTCGTATGTTTTGACTTCAAAAAACATGTCGGCCACTAGTTCGGTGAGCCTCCACCAAGGGCGCTGAAACTATAGGTCGCAGAAGGGCAGCCGAAACGTTGGCACCTGTACCCAAGGCGCGGCGTCTTTCGGGCAGCCAAGTAGCTACTAAGATAGGAGAACACTGTGATTGACATACGAGTGCATTTCAATTAAAGATATCTATACATTCATACATGTCGTTCGTGGGCTGAAACAGTGGCACAACTCAAAAAACAGGTGTTGAGATAAATGAGTGTGAAGTTTACAAGTCGTATTGAAATGCATCATTCTTGCATTCGCAAGTCTGCTATTTGTTTATGGAATATTGTACTGGAAAATATGTTGCTATTGCTACTGGAAGGTACCCCAATCTGCAATTCCGGAGAGTGCACTAAATCAAAATTCCTATTTTTTTAGTTCTGCCACTCTAATAATAATAATAATAATAATAATAATAATAATAATAATAATAATAATAATCACTTAATTACCAATACACACCATAAACGGCAATATAAAAAATGTTAAAGACATACATAACAGTCAATCACTTCACAGTTTTTTAAAATGAAAGACTAATGATACTTTGTGCAATTTTGGATTCTAAACTAATTAAGCCATGGCATGCGTAATGCCAACAAATGACAAACAAAATATTGCCAATAATACATTGTATTAGATACTGTAATAAACATTTATAACCACCAATTAAGCTATTGTACGTGATCTTTAAGTCCTATGACTTACAGTTCATTACGACCTAAAAAATTAATATGCGGCTAAATTTTCTGACAACAGTTGAAAATTCCTGCCAAAAACACTTCACACACAACCCACTTACATCACATTCACGTAGAAATATTACCCTAAACAAGGCATTGAGTTTGCGACCAGACTACTGAATTGATGCATTCACAATGATTTTCATTAACATTAATATGGAGACTATTAGCAGACGTTAGCACGAAAGCTCAAGTTGCAAAATTTCAAATATAATTGCTTTTGAAAGAAGGAGGCAAAATGAAATTTATTTCTGACTTCCTTATTATTTAGGAATTATTATTGTCGCTGTGTCCATTTGCTATCAACTCTTATTTGTACCTTCATTAAAGCCATTTAGACGTGTCTAGATATCACTGTCAATGTCAATGCGAATCTAGTGTTCAGTCTTATGTTTATGTCTTTCAGTGAATGTTCACGTTTCTACGTGAAAGACCCTTTACATCTTATTATATTTAATTAGAAAGCTGTAGCACAGCAGGAAGTAAGTCAACCATACATGTAAACTACCTCCTTCGGAAGCTATGAGCAAGCGCGACCAACATCGTTAAATTTGACAAATTGGAACGTGATATTCTCCCTAATAAATCGGGACCTGTGCCTTATTGCAATGAAAGGGGGCTTATAACGGTACGATACGCTGGTGTTGCTAAACCGGTAGCATATGCAAATAGACGCGAAACGAAATATCTAGAACAAACAATTAGAATGAACGACCCTGGAAATTAGAGTTAGCAGTTCACCGTCGTCACAGTTTGTAACAATGTTCATTAACGCAAAACATATTAGAAAATGGTGTGCAAAACGGAACCAACACGTGAAACTTCTAAATGGTCACGTGAATACGTGTTAGTGATTTACGCTACCGAGTTTCACTCTTCGCATGAAGTCGCTGTACGCGGGAACTTCGGCATGGCAACTATGAGCACAGGTGGGGCTAGTCGTGAAAAAAAAACTTAGTTATCTTCGATTCCTATAAATAATTTGATAAGTGAACTTTTAGCTGAAAATGGGTTGAATATGCAAGTGGATTCGCCAAATCATTCTCTGCATTTGTGTATAATTAGGGCCGTCCAGAAGGGGGGAGCTGGGGCTACTTTCCCCACGTTCCAATTTAAATAGGGCCCCATTTTTTTTTCATTGTAAAGAAATAAAAAAAAATATTTATCTCCACCTAAATTTAACGCTGTTATTTCCGTAAAGAAATGAATTCTGCTAATGAATTGGGGGAAGAGGGAACTTTTATTTGAAATAAGAGCCGCCCTTGGATCAAGTCCCAGGCCCCTGGTTTTCTCTGGGCGCCCCTTTTGTATAATCGGTACCATAATTTCCTTCTGTTCAAGGAGTAATATGCGCATGGTAATTTACACTCTTATCGTAAATTTATTCAATCATGAACCCTAACAAGTTGAATTCTATCACGCTAGAACATTCAGTTCAAAGCAT